TTAACTCTGGTGTCCTGGTATTTACTTCTATAGCTCCAAAGTGTAGGTCTGTGTTGCTTTTTGGAGAACTTCTTCAAGAATAAGACAAAAAGACAAAGAGCTATAAAATATGAGAGGCAAGACAGTCAAAGAATCAGGAGTCAAATATTTGAATAAGAGATAAAAGAACTGAGAAAGTGAAGGGAAGAAAATTCTATTTTCTATCATCTATTCCTTCCTTCCCTCCATCCTTCCCTTTCTCTCCCTCTATCTTTTTTTTTTTTTTTTAATAGGCAGAGTGGACAGTGAGAGAGAGAGACAGAGAGAAAGGTCTTCCTTTTGCCATTGGTTCACCCTCCAATGGCCGCCGCGGCCGGCACACCGCGCTGATCCGAAGCCAGGAGCCAGGTGCTTCTCCTGGTCTCCCATGGGGTGCAGGGCCAAAGCACTTGGGCCATCTTTCACTGCACTCCCGGACCACAGCAGAGAGCTGGCCTGGAAGAGGGGCAACCGGGACAGAATCCGGCGCCCCGGCACCGCAGGCGGAGGATTAGCCTATTGAGCCACGGCGCCAGCCCTCTGTCTTCTTTCTCTCTATCTACCTACCTACCTGCCTATCTGGATCCATCCATCAATATTAGCCTTTTCTTCCTTCCTTTCTTTCTTTCTTTCTTTCTTTCTTTCTTTCTTTCTTTCTTTCTTTCAGAGGTAGAGTTATAGACAATGAGGGGGAGAGACAGAGAGAAAGGTCTTCCATTTACTGATTCACTCCCTAAATGGACACAACGGCCGGAGCTGAGCCGATCCGAAGCCAGGAGCCAGGAGCTTCTTCTGGGTCTCCCACGTGGGTGCAGGGGCCAAGGACTTGGGCCATCTTCTACTGCTTTCCCAAGCCATAAGCAGAGAGCTGGATCGGAAGAGAAGCAGCAGGGACTAGAAGTGGCGCCCATATAGGATGTCGGCACCACAGGCAGAGGATTAACCTGCGCCACAGCACCAGCCCCCCCTATTAGCTTTTTCATTACTATAATGAAATGCCCGTAGCAGGCTACTTATGAATAGAAGAGATTTACTTCGTTCACAGTTTTAGAGGCTTAAGGGCGTGGTGCCAACACCCGCACAGCTCCAGTGAGGACCCTCTTGGCTCTTTATTTATTTATTTTTTTGACAGGCAGAGTGGACAGTGAGAGAGAGAGACAGAGAGGTCTTCCTTTGCCGTTGGTTCACCCTCCAATGGCCGCCACGGCCGGTGTGCTGCAGCCGGCACACCGCGCCAATCCAATGGCAGGAGCCAGGTATTTATCCTGGTCTCCCATGGGGTGCAGGGCCCAAGCACCTGGGCCATGCTCCACTGCACTCCCTGGCCACAGCAGAGAGCTGGCCTGGAAGAGGGGCAACCGGGACAGAATCCGGCGCCCCGACAGGGACTAGAACCCGGTGTGCCGGCGCCGCAAGGCAGAGGATTAGCCTACTGAGCCGCGGCGCCGGCCCCTCTTGGCTCTTTAACAGGAAGTCAGACAGAAATTGAGTGGAGCCGAGCTCAAGTTTTTCTAACAATCTTCTAGTGAGGGGAGGGGTCCCAGGACAGCTACTTTAAGTCCTCCCGAGGGCAGCACCCACAGCAAGACCTAAAATCTCCCCCTAGGCCATGCCTCTCCCAGTACTAGGCCTCTCTGCTCCCAATACTGCCACCATGGGGACCAAGTCTCCAATCACAGTGGACCCTTGGAGGACACCCAAACCATATCCAAACTACAACACTACATCTGTCTGTCTGTCTGTCTATCTATCCACTTATCTACATTTCTATCTGGTTCCCCTGAACTAAAGGAGGTGAGAGTCCAATTTATGTTTTCTAAACAAAGGTTCTGACATGTGGCCCCTTCTTATGTCCAGTGTCTTTTTGACCTCACTAGGCCCTGCAAAACAAATTGTACAGGCCCCCTAAGTTTTCAGTCTTCATTTTTCTTCCTTTCCCCTGATACTTCTTCCTCTATTACTCTCTTTTGTGCATACTGAAAAGATTATCTGCAACAAATCTTGGTGTGTGCATGCCTAGGGGGTGAGCTACTCTGGGTAGCTGACAGCTCCCTTAAGAATAAATCTCTTGGGGCTGCCGCCTGCAGTGCTGGCATCCCATGTGGGTGCCAGTTCGAGTCCTGACTGCTTTATTTCTGTCCTGGCTCTCTGCTGTGGCCTGGGAAAGCAGTGGAAGATGGCCCAGGTCCTTGGGCCCCTGCACGCACATGGGAGACCTGGAGGAGGCTCTTGGCTCCTGGCCTTGGATTGGTGCAGCTCTGGCCATTGTGGCCATTTGGGGAGTAAACCAGCAGATGCTTCCATCCTCTCTCTCTCTGCTGCCTCTGCCTCTCAAACAAATAAATCTTAAAAAAAAAAAAAACTGTCGTTAGTAATTCTCTAGGAGCTGGTGTTATGGCACAGCAGGCTAAGTCACTTTCTGCAACACTGGCAGCCCATAGGAGCACTGATTCAAGGCTTGGTTGCTTCATTTCTGATCCAGCTCCATGCTAATGCTCCTGGGAAAGCAACGGAAGATGGTCCAAGGGCTTGAGCCCTTGTCACCCACATGGGAGACCTGGATGAAGTTCCAGGCTCTTGGCTTCAGTCTAGCCCAGCCCCAGCTGTTGTGCCCATTTGAGGAGTAAACCAGTAGACAGAAGATCTCTCTCTCTACTACTATTACTACTAATACTGCTGCTGCTGCTGCTGCTACTCCCTCCTTCTCTCTGCCATTCAAATACATAAAATAAATCTTAAAAAAAAAAAAGAATAGGAGCCAGTGCTGTGGCATAGTAGGCTAAGTCTCTACCTGCAGCGCCAGCATCCCGTATGGGCACCAGTTCATGTCCCAGCTGCTCCTCTACCAATCCAGCTCTCTGCTATGACCTGGGAAAGCAGTGGAAGATTGCTCAAGTGCTTGGGCCAATGCACCCACGTGGAAGACCTGGAAAAATCTCCTGGCTCCTGTCTTCGGATTGGCCCAGCTCTGGCCACTGCAGCCATCTGGGGAGTGAGCCAGCGGATGGAAGACCTCTCTCTTTGTCTCTTCTCTGTCTGTCTATAACTCTACCTCTCAAATAAATAAATAAAATCTTTTTTTAAAAAAAGACTAAATCTCTAGTTCATTTATCATTATGGATAAATCATAGAAGTATCATACAAAACCAAAAAAATAAGCTGAAGAATGAAGTATACAGAGGGTACAAGTTATACACGATTGGTTTTGCCATTTATAACTTATTAGTGACCAAAGAACATTATATTAATCAAGTCAAAGCTTAAGAAGCAAAATTTTAAACTGAAAATCCAAGTCCACAGACACTATGCCAGTGATACAATCACATTTTTACATTTCCAGCCAAGTCAGAAGATCTGTGTAGTAAGAATGGCTTTAGTAGCAGCCTAATTCTGCCCTGTTTCTCTGCCACCTTTTACATTGTTGACATTATTCAAACACTCTGAAATGGCACTGTGTGAACATGCACCAGTGAGCTCCCGCGGGCTTGAATGGGACACAGGTGGTTGCCTCTCCGAAGCCAGGATGCCAGGACACCTCCCAAAGATCCCTAAATGGACATTTTGACTTTAATATCCAAATGAACCAGCACAATACCCCTTCCATGGATGAAGGGAGCCCAGCCTCAGGGCCTGTGCTGTGGTCCAGTGGGTTGAGCTGCTGCTTGCAATGCCAGCACCCTATATCAGAGTTCTGGTTCAAGGAATCCTAGCTGCTCTGCTTCTGATCCAGCTCCCTGCAAATGTGCCTGGGAAAGCAACAGAGGGCCCAAGTACTTGGATTCCTTCTACCCACATGGAGGACCCAGAAGGAGTTCCTGGCTCCTGGCTTTGGCCTGGCTCATCTCCTGTCATTGTCATTTCTGGCATTTGGGGAATGAACCAGCCAATGGAAGATATCTCTCTCTCTCTCTCTCTCTCTCTCTCTCTCTCTCCCTCCCTCCCTCCCTCCCTCCCTCCCTCCTTTCCTCTCTGTCATCCTGCCTTTCAAATAAATAAAATAAATCTGAAAAAAAAAAAAATGAGCCCAGCCTCTTTTCCAGGCCCCCTGAGCTCATGGGGGCTTTCCTGCATCCTGCAGCCACTCCCCACTGTCACCGGGAGCCCAGCAGCTGGTGTCCTCTCCACCTGCCCATGTGTCCCCGTGGCTCAGAAAAGCTCTGTACACACGTCATTCCCTGACACAGGATCTGCTCACAGCAGCTCTGGTGTGTTGCACAGTTTTTACAGAAAGCATGAGGTTGCCAGAAAGTTACAATACAGGCAGAATATCAATTAATAATTAATATTGAATATCACACATAACCCTCCTACACACACACCACTCGTTCTCCGCTACGGGGCCTCTCCCATCACAGTCTGACTCGGTGCTCTCTCCTTGGCCTCTCCCTCTGCTGCTGACCTCCCCCAAGACTCTCCCCTTCTCTAATCGGCCAGCCTTCAGCCCCCAAACTCCTGTTACTTTCTTCAGCTTGCTCTGCACCTTTGGCTCTGCCTTTCTGGCCATGCCGCATTCAGAGAGACCCACCAGAGTAGTTTCCTAACTCCTACCTTGAAAAAAAAAAAGCTCTCAGAGTTGTCTTTGCCCTCTTTTGCACTATGCCTGCTTAGTGCCCACACAACATAAAAACCATGAATTATGGCCTTGAATGGCACTTCTCCCTCTGCTGCGTGTTTTAGGTACAAGAAAGAGTGGTGACTACACCGAGCACTTCAAGAGTACCTCAAAGCTAGGTTAATCTTCACCAAGCCCTGTAAAATGGCAAATGGTATCATTCCCACATTACAGAGGAAGACACTCTGGGAAGGTTAAGTGACTTGCCTGAGTGGCCTGCTAATGGCTAGGGTTTGACTTGAACCACGCTTGCCTGATTCCTAAGCAGATGTCTGCTTCTCTACACAGCACTGCAGACACTGCTCCCCGCCCCACCCCAGCCCATACGCCTTTGATTCACACCTCTTTCCTCCATCTCCATTCTCCCCAGGATCCCACAGCAATGAGTTGGTGGAGGGACAATTTCTGGATCATCTTGGCTGTGGCCATGATCATTGTCTCTGTGAGCCTGGGCCTCATCATGTACTGTATCTACAGGTGTCAACTTAGACAAGGTAATGGCCATCTCGCCTGGGCAGGTGGTGGGAGGGCTGAGGGCATTAGAGCCCCTTTAGGACAGGCAGATTAGTTCTGGGCCTGTATGAGCTAAACTTTGGATTAAGCATCACACATTCTGGGTTTGAGTCCTAGTCCTGCCACGGACTTAGGTCCCTGGTCCTCAGCGCTTCCTCCCATTTGCACAGTAAAGGGAAGGAGGGCGACTGACCTCCGAGTTGCCTTCCAGTCCTCGGGGTCTGCCTCAGGGCATGGTAGGCTCCAGGGCTTTCTTTTCCTGTGCTGACTGCTGATCACAGCATCCTGTCTCTGGGGCTTGAAAGAGAACATGGGGCTACGGAACACCTGGAATTGTGTTGAGGAGTGAAACACGCGCTCAACCAAGGGCCACAGTGTTTGGCCACCTTCTCCATTGGATGATATTCTGTGTGATCCCCACCTTGAACACAGGCCTCTTTGGCATCCTCTGGTCATGAATGATATCATAAATGGGGAAGTAGCACTAACTCCAGATTATTTACAAGTGGTTTTTCCACTTTGCTGTTCATCTCCAGAAACATGGAATCCTTGATTCCGTAGTGTGTTGTTTGGAGATTTACTGGGGAGTGGGGGGGGGGGGCAGAGATATCTGGCCTGTGAGCCGTATAAGACCCACATAATCATTTGGTCTGGCCCTGCCAAGGCAACTGCAGGTAGGACTTCAAAGTCAATAGAAAAGTTCCCCAACCCTGCGTAATGGTCTAAGCCGGGAGTACGCAGGGGTGGGGGTGGGGGTGGTTGTACTAAATGTACTGAGGGGTACCGCACCTGTCCCTGGGCACCCCTGGGGCAGGCATCCGTCAGTGATCAAGCACTGTCCTCCCACTGCAGCTGGGCACAGCTCAGAACCTGCCTCAACCAAGGCTGCACAAGAAGTAGACCTTTTTCTTTGTCATTCTCCTCAATCTCTTTTTTTTTTTTTAATTTTTATTTTTTTGACAGGCAGAGTGGACAGTGAGAGAGAGAGACAGAGAGAAAGGTCTTGCCGTTGGTTCACCCTCCAATGGCCGCGGCCGGCGCGCTGTGGCCAGCGCACAGCGCTGATCCGATGGCAGGAGCCAGGAGCCAGGTGCTTCTCCTGGTCTCCCATGGGGTGCAGGGCCCAAGCACCTGGGCCATCCTCCACTGCACTCCCGGACCACAGCAAAGAGCTGACCTGGAAGAGGGGCAACCGGGACAGAATCCAGCGCCCCAACTGGGACTAGAACCCAGTGTGCCGGTGCCGCAAGGCGGAGGATTAGCCTAGTGAGCCACGGCGCCAGCCCCCAACTCCCGCTTCTAATTTTAGCTTCCCATCAGTGCAGATCCTGGGAGACAGCAGTGATGGCTCAAGAAATTGGGTACCTGCCACTCACATGGGAGATCTGGAATGAGTTCCTGCCTCTGAGCTTTGGCCCAGGCCCAGCTATTGCAGGAACTTTAGGGGGTGAGGGTGGGGCTGAACCAGCAGATGGGAGCTCTGTGTCTCTTTCTTTCTGCCTGTCAAGTAAATAAAAAAGGTCTGCTCCATGGCTCACTTGGCTAATCCTCCGCCTGTGGTGCCGGCACCCCGGGGTTCTAGTCTCAGTTGGGATTCTGTCCCGATTGCTCCTCTTCCAGTCTAGCTCTCTGCTGTGTCCCAGGAGTGCAGTGGAGAATGGCCCAAGTGCTTGGGCCCTGCACCCACATGGGAGACCAGGAGAAGCACCTGGCTCCTGCCATCGGATCAGCGAGGTGCGCCGGCCGCAGCAGGCCAGCCACGGTGGCCATTGGAGGGTGAACCAATGGAAAGGAAGACCTTTCTCTCTGTCTCTCTCTCTCTCTCTCACTGTCCACTCTGCCTGTCAAAAAAAAAAAAAAAGTAAATTAAAAAATCATTTTAAAAAGTACATTCTATGCTCCTAAAGTCTTCTGTCCATTTGCCTTCGGAAGACTTTTCATTCTCAGATATGGTCACAAGTGTGACCCTGGACAAAAACTGGCCTACCCTCTTTAACTTGAACCAATCCTAATAATAAGTAGGTTATAATTAACACCAAGTTAATACTGAGGAGATAAACATGGTGTCCAGGTGGTTGCTGCCCTCCCTGGGGTCGGGTGCTCAGGTTCTAGCTCTGTCACTTACTAGCTCTGTGTGTCAAGTCTGTTTTCTCCCGGCAATTCTTTCAAATGTCCTGGACCTGCCTGGTTTCTAAGGACTTAATTCTCAAATCACATGTTGCGCTAATTCTTCCTAAATGAATGTGTGTTTCCCTCCGCATAGGCAAGAAATGGGAAGTTGTCAGGCCCTTGAAACAAAACCGAAGAGATGAAGAAAAGACATATGAGTAAGTGTGTGTGTGGAGGGGGGAATCCCTCTGCCTCTTTAATTCTGAGAACCCCTTGTTTACTTCCACCCTCGCCCTCCTGTACCGCACTGGTGCGACTGCAACGCCCACTCTTCTTGTGGAGCTGGAGAAATGCTGGGTCTCGGGGTGCTGGGGGTACAGGGCACCACTGCTCTACACAGCGGCCCTTATCTACTTAGACAGAGGTCCCAGAGGTCCCAGGTTAGGCTCTGTGTCCTGGCCCACCACCCAGTCTGTCCCTTTTTTTTTTTTTTAAGATGGATTAAAACTACAGTCCTCCAAATGCTGTTTTGCTGGACAAAAAATAGGCCATTTCTTTGCCTTGGTACTGCGTGCTGTATCGGGGGTGTTACGATTGCTAGCCATGTCGGAGCTCCCCAAGGCCACACTTGGGCTCGGTGATCCCCTAGAAGGACTCAGGGGACCCAGAAAAGCTCACAGTTAGGTTTAAATACAACAAGAGGATGCAGATTAAAATCAGCAAAGGCAAAGGCACACAGGATGATTCAAGGAGAAGCCGGTTGCAAGCTTCCGGGAGTCTCCGAGGGCAGTGATGTGTGAGCACTGCAGACCAGGGTCACTCATCCGAGCCTTGGTGTCCAGGGCTTATTGAGGGACAGCCATGGCGGCACGGAGCACCCACAAGACTGGCCTTTACTACTCACTCTCCAATCCCTGCAGGGGTCAGCTGATCCAGCCTGGCCCAGGGCCCCAGTTCTATATCAGGAGGACTATCCCAAGAGCTCACAGGAGACCTCCCAGGAGCCAGGCGAGAGCCATCCTTTTTTAAGAACACATGCACTCTTGAAAGCATGATCTATAATTTTCTAAAATGGCTTTTTACTGGGGCCCAGCCAATAAAACCCTTCCCCCACCAATTCTGATCCTCTCGAGGAGTAAGATAAATGTGCCAGGTGGCTAGATGACCTAAATGCCACCTGGATGAGGCTAATGCTGTTGAGATTCCCTGCTGAAGTACAACATGAGCACAGGAAAGCACACGTGGTAAGCGCACATCCCCATGGATCTCCGCACACCCAACAGACCCCGGTAGCTAGCACCCAGACCAAGAAACGGTGTCACCAACACCTCAGATGAGCACCTTATTCTGCCTCTCAGCCATCACACCCCAAGGGAACCACCATCTGTACCAGCATCAAGTTTATCTTTTCTTGTTTCAATGCTTTCATAAACGAAATTATACAGTGTCTATTATTTGGCATTTGTCTTCTCTTGCTCAATGTCATTTTTATGAGATGCCTTGTGGCAGCTGTCGATTATTCATTCCCACCACTACAGTGCTGCTAACTGCTGGGCATTTGGGTAATGTGATGGCTAATTTTACATGTTTCTGTTTCTCTGGAGAACCCAGACAACACAAGGGGCGTCCAGTTTGGGGCTGTTATGAATTGTGCTGATATTAACATTCTACTGCGTGTCTTGTGGTGAACACAGGCAAGCATCTTGGTGGGGCATAAACCCTGTAGTGGGACCGCTGTCTCAGGGGGAGTGCACACGCAGCGTTAGGAGTTCATCTGTTTTTTGTTTTGTTTTGTTTGACAGGCAGAGTGGATAGTGTGAGAGAGAGAGACAGAGAGAAAGGTCTTCCTTTTGCCATTGGTTCACCCTCCAATGGCCGCTGTGGCCGGCGCACCATGCTGATCCGAAGCCAGGAGCCAGGTGCTTCTCCTGGTCTCCCATGCGGGTGCAGGGCCCAAGCACCTGGGCCATCCTCCACTGCACTCCCGGGTCACAGCAGAGAGCTGGCCTGGAAGGGGGGCAACCGGGACAGAATCCGGCCCCGACCAGGGCTAGAACCCGGTGTGCCGGCGCCTCAAGGCGGAGGATTAGCCTATTGAGCCAAGGCACCGGCCCTGTTTTACAAATCAAAACAGGTGTCTTCCTCCCTGTGCTGAGCCAGCTCAGGTGAACACAGGAAGGCGTGCTCCCAGCTCTAAGCTACCACACTTCAGCCATTCCTTGACCCGAAGCAAACCGTTCCTTTTGGTGCAGTTATGAAGGGAAAGCGGGGCCCAGGAAGGCAAGGGAATGCTTCCAATCTGTATGGGCCAAAATCTGAATGTGCAACCCATTCACTTTCCCTGACATCTTCTTTTCAATCCTCTGACAGTAGGCATGGGCCAGACCAAACACTGATTGCTCCCTTTCTTTGTTCCCAGGAATGTTTTTAATCAGTCACCAACTGAATTACCCCCTCTGCCGCCCAGGGGTTTGCCTTCTCTTGGAGACTCCTGTAAGTATATTTTGCTGATAAGAGCTTCATTCAGGGTAGGATAATGAATTTATCTGGGTCTCTTAGCTTAGACTGACATAACAAAATTATGGTAGACTATAAACAGAAATCTTTCTCCCAGGTCTGGCTGTTGTAAGACTGAGGTCAGGTGCCAGGCAGTTCAGTTTCCGGTGAACGTTCTCCTCTGGGCTTGCAGAATGCTGCCTTCTTGCTGTGTCCTCCTGTGGCCCTTCCTCGGTGCAGTCGAGCTGGGGAAGAGAGCGGGAGAGCCAGCTCCCGAGGTCTCTTCTGACAAGGACATTAATCTTGCTAACTCAGAGCCCCACCTTATGATTAAATACAGCCACATTGGGGGTTATGGCTAAACACATGAATTTAGTGAGGACACATTCAGTCCACAGCACTAGGATTTGCAGACACAGGAATACATAAGTTTAAAAGGAATACCTAAGTTAACAAGGGCCAGCAAAGCACTGGTATTTGGCCTAGCAGTTAAGATGCCCACATCCCACATCCCAGTACCCGGGTTCCACACCCAGCTCAAGCCCCAAACCCCAGCTCCCTGAGGATCCTGGGAGGCATCAGTGATGGCTCACGTAATTGGGAGACCCGGATTGGGTTTCCAGGTCCCAGCTTCATCCCAGCCATTGCGGGCATTTAGGGAATGAACCAGTGGGTGGGAGCTCCATTACACATACTCTCTCTTTCTCTTTGACTCTCAAATACATAAATAGTAAGTGTGGAGGGAAAAATACCAAAGCTCCCAGTATCCTGATATGAATATGCAAATTCATGGTCAAATCCCAGCTAGAAACATGAGTGATAAGGAACTTGGGGTTGTCACTGGGTCTCACACACTTCCTGTCAGCAAAGTCTGCCTGGGTCCCCTGACTTCAGCTCTTCACTAGCCGGCTTTGCCCCATCCTTCGGGGTTCTGCTCAAAAGTCACCACCCCCAGAGGCCCTCCTTGACCTATCTAAAATAGTCCTGCTACTTTCTGTTGTAAAATTTGTGGCAGTTCTCCAAAACTGCCTTATTTAGTTATTGCCTATTTGTCTAGGACCTATCTCTTCCACTATAATCTCCAGGAAGTTATATATCTTCCATATATGTCTAATAATATATATATAATATATATCTTATAATAATATATATTATATATATAATCCTATATCTTCCATATGATCTCCAGGAAAACAGGAAGCTTTATTGTCTTATTCACGGCTGTCTACCCACCAGGACAGTGCCTGGAGCTTCCTAGATACTTAGTGAAGACGTTCTGATTGAACGTGGCCAACACTCACGGAGCACACACCGTGTCGGGTACCCTGCTAGGCACTCTACAAGCACTGTCTCAGTAATCCTCCCCATGACGCTACAGAGCAGGTGCACTGCCCATTGTCAGAGGAACACACTGAGGTACAGAGAAGTCAGATGACCCATCCGTGGTCACAGAGCCAGTGATTGCTGGAGTCTGACCATGAACTCATCCTAACTGCACAGTTCAACAGGAAATGACAAGGCAGTCATTTTGAGATTGTGGCACAGGCAGTTTCCACACACATCCAAGGTGCAGCTGAGCTGTGTTCTGTGTCTCTCCTTTTGCTCTAGGTCTTTTCTGTACTAATCCCACTTCCTGAAGCCACCTCTGGTCCTTCTTTCTTAGCAGATAGATTTGTACATAAGCAACTATGGAAAGTGCTGGAAAACAGCATAAGTCATCAGGAGGGATGTGCCAGAAAAGGAAATGGTTTGTACTGCTTCCTTGTGAGAGAGTTAGGAGCTGTAGTCACAACAGTGCTCATCTGGCTACCGGCTCTGGTCTGTTTCTTTTCTAAGCTTTTGCTTCACGGTTTCGGTGCAGCGCAGCCATAGGCAGAGAGACTTGGAGTCCGAGTGTATGACCAATATGCATATTTGATGTTTATTCACTTGGATGATCCTGAGAGCCACGACACATCTATGCTGAGTTTGTAAATGGGGATCTGGTCCCCCAGAACCTGGGAAGATCACCAAAACCCATGAAAATCTGGTTGAGCCATTTGGTCAAAAATACATCACAAACAGCTTTGCACGTAAGGAACTTGCTGTGTGTTCCAGCCCCACAGGAAACCCCAAGTCTGCAGCCGCCTACATACTCACTGGTGAACATGAGAAACAAGACGGCCACTTCCAGCTACGTGGAGCCTGAAAGTGACTATGACGACATAGAAATCCCCGCAAATACAGAAGGCCATCACTTAAAAACAACCTTTCCTTCAAACTGGGAAGCCAAACAGGGCTCCCACGGCTTATTTTAAAACCACTGAGAGTGGCTGAATTGCACTGGGCATCGGGGTCCAGACGGCTGTGATGAGGGGACAGATGCCACTGCTTGACCCTGGGAATAAGAGCCTTCAAGCTCGTGGGAGGAAAAGTTTCCAGTGGGAGGCTCCAGGCTTTCACCTGTGAGACACGTCACATTTCCCCAGCATGCTTTTCCCTGCCGTTCCTTGGTTTGTGTTTCTAAATGATGTTACATGGCAGTGTTTGTGCAGAGCCTCCTGGACTCCTGCCCCAGCAGGGCCTTGCTCTGTGCTCCAGTCTCACGTCTTTCTGCCCCACCCACTGAACAACACAGCTGAGTGCTCTTGCGTGCAAGTTACCACCTCGGGCCTTGTGAGTCTGCAAGGGTTTTTTTTATTTTTGAGGCCCTCCCCAACCACATAGACCCCAAACTCAGCGCCTTCGTATGTTATAGGCGAACGTGACCATCAGATTCAAGTTTTCACCTGGGTTTTTTCCCCATGCCTACAGGTGACACTACAACCATCAACTAAGACAGAAGTTACCTCCTGGTTTATTCCTAGAGGTGTCATTTTGCAGCAGGTGTATTGAGAGGCTACAGGAAAAGTAGGTTGACCCAGGAAAGAAAGGGACCAGATCACAATGGCCTATCCAAATGATGGCTCAGGAGGCTTGCTGCCCTCTGTCCACAAATTTCTTTTATTTCTGTTCCGTTGGTCAGGCAGAGTTAGACAGTGAGAGAGAGAGACAGAGAGAAAGGTCTTCCTTTCCATTGGTTCACCCCCCAAATGGCTGCTACGGCCAGCGAGCTGCGCCGATCCAAAGTCAGGAGCCAGGTGCTTCCTCCTGGTCTCCCATGTAGGTGCAGGGCCCAAGAACTTGGACCATCCTCCACTGCACTCCCGGGCCACAGCAGAGAGCTGGACTGGAAGAGGAGCAACTGGGACAGAATCCAGCGCCCCAACCGGGACTAGAACCTGGGGTGCTGGCACCACAGGTGGAGGATTAGCCTAGTGAGCTGCGGCGCCGGCCATGTCCACAATTTTTGTTATTGCTTCCTCCCCCGACACGGAGTTCTGTGCAAACAGCCTCAGCCCTGAGAGTCCGGGAGGCAGAAAGCCAGGTGAGAGGCGCTGCAGCGAATGAGATGCCAAGGAAGTCGGCTGCTGCCTTGTCCAACAAGTGCCCCAGAGCTGCCAGGGTCACCACTGCCCATGCCAATTTTAAAGGCTCTTAGACCTCGTCAGGTTCCTTCAGGTTAATCTGCTAGAGCCATAGGACAGGACTCAATCTAACCAGACTCACAAGATGCTGATTTGTAAGCAATCCTCAGGAATTCGGCTATCAAGCCAGCCTGCAGCGAGAGCACCATGGGCCTGACAAGGCCTGGGAGTGACTGCTGGACTGCGCTTCCCCTTAAGCAGTGGGGAAGTGTGCTCCTGCCACAGTCAAGCTTTGGCCCTCGGCGACTGGCGGGCAGAGGGGATGCCTTCCTCCCTGGATCTCCCTTTCTACACTCCACCGAGCCTTCCACCTTGCCGCTAACACCTCCTTGCTACAGGCCGGTGGTTCTCCAACAATGGCCCTGTGGAATTCTGGTGTTGTACAAGCCAAGAAAGGACTTCCCCCACACATTACAGAACAAAAATAAGCCAAACGATAGAAATACTTCAAGAATATGTGTTCCTCTTATAAATTTTCTGTAAACCCTCTGCATCTATTTAACTATGAAGAACGTTAAAGGAAAATACCAAACATTAACTCGTCCTTGGTCTCTGGGACCCCACCCTCCCCTGGGTCTCCTCTTCCCTGTCTGGACTGACTTGGCGTCGTCTGTGGTCTGCCCTCTCAGCCTGAAACATCATCTCTGTGCAGGTCCTCTGTGGGATTCTGTTCACGTCCCTGTTCTCATCTCACTCTGAATACTCATGAGTGAACTCAACAATGCCCACGGGCCCAGCAGCCCCCGCCATTCTGATAACCTCCAACTCACAGGCTCCGGGTGAGCTCTTATTCCCCAAGTTCCAGACCCCACTGGCAAGTCCATATGACTGCCCCACAGGCCCCTCAAGTGCAACATAAGCCAAAGAAACCGACCGCCTACTTCTTGTGCTCTGCTCTCTTCTTTGTCCCCGAAGTCAGAAACTAGCATCCTTCCTGCTCAGTGTTCCCACCTGTTGAGCTCCCCCACCCCACCAGCAGTTCTCCCATCAGCCCATGTGTCCCCAGCACTAGGCTGAGGTCAAGCCATTGCCTTGGTTGCCAAGAAAACTTCAACAGCCTCTTCACTGGTCTCCTGCCTCTGGCTGCTCACCCTTCAAATAACTTTCTACAGGGGAGCCAGTGATTTGCTCAAATGAACATCTGTCCATCTCAGTGCCTTGATCAAATTTCCTCTCTGCTCATTCACCTTAGAAGAAGTCCAAAATCCTTGGCATGGCTTACAAGACTTATCTGGATCTGGTCACTGGTCATCTTTTACCAAAACCGTCCCCCCACCATCTTGCAGTCTTCAGTCTGCCCAGATGTTTTGACTCAGCCATCTGAGACGACCTTTGCCGAGGTCTATGCGGCCCCTGTCCTGTGTTCAGCCCTGTCCCCTCTGTATGGAACACTCTCCCCCACCTGCAGCTCCTTCCCATCTCACTCAGGGATCCTCTCACCCCTGCAGATGCAGACTGGGTGGTCTTCTCTCACAGCATCAGCACTTGTAGGGGCTGCTCACTTGCTGCTCCCCCCGGGAGACCCAATGCACCTGAGAGCAGGGACTGTGTCTTTCTTTCCTCTGTTGGTTTCCCTGTTCTTAGCAGAGTGTGCAGGCTTGCGCAGATGCCCAATACACTCCCTGAATGATCAATCAAACTGAACAATGGAGGCACTCCTCTGTGCTCTCACAGCAGCCTGTATTGGCCTGATAGAAACACTTTTCCCTTTGCATTGTAATTGCCTGGTTACTTCAAGTCCTCCTTTCTAAGCTGTGGGTTCCTTTGGGGGCAGGACTTGTCTGGTTCGTGGCTACATCCTCAGTGTCCAGCATAAACCCTGGCACACACTGGGTACTTAATAAATAGTTACTGAATATTGAACTTTATTTTCAAAGATTTATTTATTTATTTGAAAGGCAGAGTTACAGAGAGGCAGAGTTGGAGCGTGGGGGTGGTCTTTCATCCGCTGGTTCACTCCCCAATTGGCTACAGCGGCCCGAGCTGTGCCAATCCAAAGCCAGGAGCTATGAGCCTCCTCCAGGTCTCCCACATGGGTACAGGGGTCCAAGGACTTGGGCCATCTTCTACTGCTTTCCCAGGCCATAGCAGAGAGCTAGATTGGAAGTGAAGCAGCAGGGACTCAAACTGGAACCCATATGGGATGCCAGCACTGCAGGCAGCGGCTTTACCTGTTATTCCACAGCGCCGGCCCCTGAATGTAACATTTAAAAATCTACACAACTTTCTCTGTGCATGTGTAATTTAGTTGAGATTTTATGCTGGACATACATAATAAAGCCACACCTTCTGCCAATGAAATTGCTACCTGCTTAAGATAACAGAACTAGGCCGGCTCTGTGGCTCACTAGGCTAATCCTCCGCCTAGCGGCGCCGGCACACCAGGTTCTAGTCCCGGTCGGGGCGCCGGATTCTGTCCCGGTTGCCCTCTTCCAGGCCAGCTCTCTGCTGTGGCCCGGGAAGGCAGTGGAGGATGGCCCAGGTGCTTGGGCCCTGCACCCCATGGGAGACCAGGAAAAGCACCTGGCTCCTGGCTCCTGCCATCGGATCAGCGCGGTGCGCCGGCCGCGGCGGCCATTGGAGGGTGAACCAACGGCAAAGGAAGACCTTTCTCTCTGTCTCTCTCTCTCTCACTGTCCACTCTGCCTGTCAAAAAATAAAAAAAAAAAAATAAAAAAGATAACAGAACTAAATACATCAAGATTTCATAGGACTTTTTCATGTATTCTAGCCCCACAGAAAACCCCAAGTTATCCCACCAGCTGTATACTCGTGCATACAATTAGGAATAAGAAGGCAGGGGACCACCTGCAGCAGCAACATCCCATGTGGGCACTGATTCTAGTCCCAGCTGCTCCACTTCCAGTACAGCTTCCTGTTAATGTGCTTGAGAAAGCAGCAGAGGATGGCCCAAGTACTTGGGGCCCTGCACCCACGTGGGAGACCAGAATGGAGTTTCTGGCCTCAGTCCGGTCCAGACCTGGCTGTTGCAGGCATTTGGGGGGCGAACCAGGGAATGGAAAACTCTGTGTTGTGGGTCTCCTCTCGTCTGCTGCTTTTTCAAATACATAAATCTTTTAAAAACTCACATGTGTCAGGATTGCTTCAGGCTGCAAGAAACAGACTATCCAACCAAAGATAACTTGCAGAATAAGGAGCTTATAACCACACAAAAAAAGTCTAGAGACAAGCATGCCAGCAGTTCTGTGACTTACACGTGTGGTCTGACTTTGATTCTCTTAGCAGCGTAAGCCTCTGCATGAGAGCTGAGCCCTCCTCATCTATTCACCTCCAAAGGCCTCCCCTCTTTTTATTTTTAAAGATACATTTATCTATTTATTTACTTGGTTATTTATTTGAAAATGCAGAGTTTGAGAGAGGAAGAGACACAGAAAGAGTGAGACAACTTCCACTAGCTGTTTCATTCCCCACATGGCCACAATGACTGGGGCTGGGCATGGCCAAAGCCAGGAGCCTGGAACTCCGTCTGGATCTCTCATGCGGGTGGCAGGAGCCCAAGCACTTGGGCCATCTTCTGCTTTCCCAGGTGCATTAGCAGGGAGCTGGATCAGAAGTAGAGCAGTCGGGACTTGAACCAGCACTCTCATGGGATGCCAGCGCTGCATGTGGCTGCTTAACCTGTTGTACCACAAGGCCAGGCCTCACCTCTTAATACCATCATCTTAGGGATTAGATTTCACCATGTGGATTCACAGCAGGTGCAAACATTCAGACCACAGCACCTAACTACAGGACAGGCATGTTCAGCCTTTCTGGCTCGAGCTGGACCTGGCTATCAAGGGGAAGGGAAGAAGAGCTGTTGGACAGGCAGCCTGCTAGCCCCTGACCAGCTCACTTCACAAATATACTCTTCATGATTTGCTCTTTTTTTTTTTCAGTTACAATTGTAGAGATGTTGAAGAGTTCAGGTTCGGGTGTAGTGTACAGATTCTACCATTCAACCTTCTTCTCTTATAGGGTTCTGACCCATAAACATAGATCAAGGTCACATGGGGATGACAGTAATAGCAGCAGCAACACTGGATGAGCACTTCCTCTGTGTCAGACAGCATGTTAAGGGCCTCACCGTACAGTGCACCCACGACATTGAATGGGCAGGACTCCCGCTTCACCCCCTGCTATTCCTTGAAACACACTGTGATGGGCCTGTTCTCCCCGCCTCTGGTAGGGAAGTCTCAGGCAGGAGTCCCTGGCCCTTCTGGTTACTCTTAGGTAATAAAAAGCCCTCAAGTGCAAGTTACTCAGGTGCAGCATTTGCCAAAACTCAGTGGACATACTGTTAGTAAAATGGCACAGTCTTATCTAAGGCACAATTACACCCCGACACCATGCTAGGCTCTAGCCCCTGCGGGCCTGGCTGGAAGCCAGGTGGCCACGTGGCCCAACCACCAGTGTCAGTTCCACCCCAACCTAATGGGATTCGCTGCTCCTACTTCCCTGCCCGCCCTGGCAAAGGTTTA